GTTCAAACGTCCAGCTTGGATGCTAAGGATGTGGTTCCTTTCTGAACTAAAGATGGCCATTTCCTGGCAACTCCTGTCACCACAAAACTCAGTTTCCACTGGGCACGGTGGTGCAGACCTGTAATCCCAGAGGCTCAGGAAACTGAAGCAGGAGGATCACAAGTTCAAAGCTAATCTCAGCAACTTAGCAAAGCCCTAAGCAACTTAGTGAGACCCTGTCCCAAAATAAAAAATAGAAAATAAGCATGAGATGTGGCTCAGTGGTAAAAGCACTCTTGGGTTTAATGCCCAGTTTAAAAACAAAATAAAAAGAAAGAAAGAAAAAGAAAACAAATCTCAGCTTCCTTGGGGGAACACATCAGAGACTCTACAATCAAACATCATCCTTGGACCAGGCACCAGGAAAACATGACAGCTGCAAAGCAGAATATGGGGCTGTGGGTCAAGAAAGAGACAATGACCTGGGTCCCATGGTATATGCTGGTCATTCATGAAACTCAGGAGGCTGAGGCAGGAGGATTACAAGTTTGAGGCTAGCCTGGGCAAGTTACAGAGACCCTGTCTCAAAATAAAAAAAATAAAAAGGTCTGGGAATTCTTGCTAGTCTGTTTCCCTCCTTGGGTCCAGGACTCCACCCACTAAGGTGTTCTATGGTGAAATCCTAGTCTCTGTAAAATTCCCACATATTGAGGTCCGACTCACTCAAATCTTCATCAGTAATCAAAGCCTATGACAATGCCCAGGGATCCTCAAGGTGGTGATACAATTCTAGTATGCAGACAGAAGGAAGTCTGGCCATTCCTGGAAAGTTCCAAAACCCCTCCAGGAAAGTCAGATGGCTGGCTCAGCTCAGCAAAGAAAAAAAGTGCAGCATCCCAGAGAGAGAAACATATAAATTCAAACAGTGAGAGACAGAAGGAAATTTAGAAAGATATATTGAAAAAGAAAAGAAAAAAAAAGCTGGTTATGGTGGCACATGCCTGTAATCCCAGCACCTCAGGAGGTTAAAGCAGGAAGAGGCTAGTCTGGGCAATTTAGCAAGACCTTGTCTCAAAATAAAAAGGACTGGGGATGTAGCTCAATGGTAGAGTGCCCCTGGCTTCAATTCCCAGGACCAAAACAACTAATTAAAATAAAAAGATGAATCACAAACACACTTGGTGTTATTGAAGAGGAGATATGTAAAGATACAAAGTGGCTGAGACAAAATCTGAAACAGAATAAGACCTGAAGAGAAATTTCTGAATGCCTACTTCCCATAGGTGGGATCACTTAGGTACTTCCCTCTTGTGCCCTTAGTTCCCACCACTCAACAATGATCCCCTAAATCACAAGAAGTTAAATCAAGAATCAATAAATGGGATGGATTCAAGCTACAGAGCTTCTTTTCAGCAAAGGAAACAATCAATAATGTGAAGAAAGAGCTTACAGAATGGGAGAAAATCTTGACCACATGTACCTCAGATAGAAGACTAATCTCCAGGTTATATAAAGAATTCAAAAAACGTAACACCAAAAATACAAATAACCCAATCAATAAATAGGCTAAGAAACTGAGCAGACACTTCACAGAAAAAGAACTAGAGTGGATCAACAAACATATGAAATAATGTTCATCTCTAGCAATTAGAGAAATGCAAACCAAACCTACTCTAAGATTTCATCTCACTCTAATCAGAAAGGCAGTTACCAAGAATGCAAGCAATAAGTGTTGATGAGGATGTGGAAGAAAAAGATGCACTCATACATTGCTGGTGGGACTGCAAATTGGTGCAACCACTCTGGAAAGCAGTATGGAGATACCTCAGAAAAACTTGGAATGGAACCACCATTTGATCCAGCTATCCTACTTCTCAGTTTATACCTAAAGGACTTAAAATCAGCATACTATGGTGATGCAGCCACATTAATGTTTACAGCAGTTCAATTCCCCATAGCTAAACTATTGAAGCAAACTAGATGCCCTTCAACAGATGAATGAATAAAGAAAAAGTGGTATATATCACAATCGACTATTACTCAGTCTTAAAGAAGAATGAAATTATGGCATTTGCAGGTAAATGATGAATGGAACTGAAAATATCATGCTAAGTATTTGCTTGTTTGTTTGTTGTTTCTCCTCTCCCTCTCCCTTCCCTTCCCTACCTCCTGTTTTCTTTCCTGTCTCCTCCAAAATATGAGCTTGGTTCAGTCTAAGCAGAGGAAGTAGAAGTTCTGGAAAGTTTCTCTCCCCGAGTCTGGAGTTGGCAAAGCAATGAACAGACTACCTGTCACACCAGGTGGAACTGGAGGAGGTAGAGAACTGGACGAGGTATAGTCAAGGAGCGTGTGGTTCAGGCTCCATGTCCAACCAAGTGAAATGCCTACTGCTAAGGCTCAAAGTTGGAGCCAGAAACACAAAGCTAGAAGAGAGAAGCTGGAAAGGCCCCTGGGGTGGGGAGTTCCCATTTTTCTCCAGAAGAGGCAGAAAATAACATTCTGGCAGAATAAAACAGGCACAAGCAAGAGCATGAAACGGACTTATAGGCCAATAAAGTTTTGGCAAAGTGACCCCACCTCCCAGGCAGTTCCTAGCCTAATTTTAGAATTGTGTCAATTCTGATTCCATCTATTGGGAGGTAAGACAGAAGCCTTAAAGAGAAGGCTGGCTTTCAGATTTCAGCAAAGGACATTAGAAATTAATTTTATGTGGCTTAGTTGTTGGGTTTTTTTGGTTTGTGGTTTTGTCTTGTTTTTTATTTTTATTTTTTATTTTTTTGGCTATGCTAGGAATCAAACCCAGGGCCTCATGCATGCTATGCAAGTGCTCTGCCTCTGAGCTATATTGTCAGTCTTTTTTTTTTTTTTTTTAATTTGAGACAGGGTCTCACTAGGTTGCCCAGGCTGGTCTCAAATTTATTTTGCAATCTTCCTGCCTGAGTAGCTACAGGGTTACACCATAATGCCAGGTGTGTGTGCGTGTGTGTGTGTACATGTATGTGTGTATGTGTGTGTGTATACATATATATACACATACATATACATATGTGTGTGTGTGTGTGTGTGTGTGTGTGTGTATCCTGGGTATTTAACCCAGGAATGCTTTACCACTGAGCTACATCCTCAGCACCACTTTCTATTTTGAGGCAGGTTCTCACCAAGTTGCTTAGAGCCTCACTAAGTTGCCAAGGCCAGCCTTGAACTTGTGATCCTCCTGCCTCAGCCTCCCTAGGATTACAGATATGTACCACCTTGCCCAGCCTTGTTGCTTTTTAAAGAGATTTTTAGCATGATCTTGGAAAACTGAGAATCTTGCCTGAGAGGCATAGGGAAAGCTATAGTTGGGCAGCAACTCTTGAGATTGCTGAATCTTAGCTTTCTGATCAGGTGGGAAACCCACCTGATCAGAAAGCTAAGATTATCACAGACTGATAATCTTCTAGTCTGTGCCTTCCTACCCATACCCTCTCTATGCTGTTTTCTCTGAGGACCAAGAGTTGGAATCAAGAGGGAAAAAGCCCTGCTATACTGTCAGCCCCCTGAATTATATGTCCACCCCCACGGAAGCCTTGGTGTATATTCTCTCTCTCTCTAGTTTGTTTTTGTAGTACTAGGGATTGAACCCAGGGATCCTTTACCACTGAGCTACATCCTCAGTTCTTTTAATTTTTATTTTGAGACAGGATCTCACTAAGTTGCCCAGGCTGGCCTAGAACTTGAGATCCTCCTGCCTCAGCTTCCCGAGTTGCTGATATCACAGATGTGTGCCACCTTGTCCTAGTGCCTTGCCCACTCTCTATGACCTCAGTTTCTCTGGCATAGTGGGAAGCAAGTTGATGGGTAGAAACCAAAGGCAAAAATAGAAGCCGTCATTCCCACTTACAACTCAACCCTGGGGCAGAAACAGATCCTATTTCTGTCTACACCAGCTGGGCTACGAAATATGTCTGCATTTTCTCCCACAGCTGAAACTAGTCTGTTTAGATCTGGGCCTCTTCATTCTTCACTGGGTCCTGAAGGGACAGAGTTAAGAAGTTCAGAAACCTGCCTTGAATAAAAGGAAAATATGAGGGAGGGGCAGGAATGTGTTTTTCTCACTCCTCCTCAACTTCACCCCCACCCATCTTCTAAGGCTGGGCAGCTTCCTCTGCCCTGGATCTTATCAGGAGAAACTCCCTGCCCTTAATCCTGAGTTCCAAATGCACAGTGCCTCAGTTTCCATAAGTTGTTGGAGTCTGATGAGACAAAATGAAATAAAAAGTTATTCTTCCCAGGACTCTGTAGTTAAAACTCGTCTAAGCCTCAAGTATCCCTAAGGGATTTTCCCTCCCAGACCCCAACTAAACCAAGCACACGTACACACACACACACACACACACACACACACACACACACACACACATCATTCCCTCCATCCCCACCATTGGACCCTGACAGACTGGGTTCTACTACCCTCTAGTGGCCAGAGCTTAGAGGACTCTCGCACCCAATCAGGACCTTCAAGGCCTTTACCACCGAATGGTAAAGAAAACACCTGAGAGAAACCAATATCTCATTTCATAAATGAGAAAGCTGAAGGGACCTAGAGAGTTGGGAATATCTGGGACTACCCAATCTCGTGACTCCCAGGCCAGTGCTCAGTCCACTTTCACTTCCTCACCCTCTGACACGTTAGTGCTTCCTGCCTCATCCCTAGGAAATCAATCCAAGTTGGAAACATTGAAGCCAAAAGGACCCAGTCCCTCCCCGTCCCGGTGGCGCTTCACCTGAAACTCAGGTGTCAAGTCAGCTAACAGGGATTCTTCTGAGGAGCTGGATACTCCTCGACTTTCTGAGGTTAACAATCTTTCAGGATTATGATTGACAAAGCACATCTGCTGTCGCCTGAGCGATACTACCGTTATCACTCCTGGTAGCTCCCCAGGTCTCCTGTCTCCATGGTAACCGGCGCTTTGCGACCTTCAGTTTGCAGCGGTCGCGCTGCAGTCACTGCAGTGGTTGCTAAGCGACCGCGGAGAGGAGGCACCGACTTGAGGTGGGGGACCTGGGCCGGTGTCCTAGAGGGAAGGTTCCCAGGGAGGCTCACGGAAGGAAAAGTGCCTGGCCTCGCATGTAAGGGTGCGGTACGGGACGCAGACCCCGCTGCTTTCTCGGCACCCATGGCGGTGGCGATGCCCCCGAGTCGGGTGGAGGTCTCAGGCTGGAGCTGGAGGCCGGTGGCTCGAGACGCACTCCTGGCTCGGGCCTTCCATTCGTGCACCGAACTGCGGGGACGGTTCTATCTGGTGGGGGGTCTTCTAACAGGTGGAGCGAGAAAGCCCAGCAGTGATACGGTGGTCTTCGACCCGACTGGGGGCCAGGCTGTACGGCTGGAAGCCAGGGACAGCCCCCTGCTCAGTCACCACGACGCGGCAAACGTGGGCGGGCGTTGGCTCTGCGTGGTGGGCGGCTGGGACGGGTCGCGACGCCTGGCCACAGTGAAGGTGCTGGACACAGAGCATGGAGTGTGGGAAGCGTGGACGGCGACCCCTGACAACTGCCCTCCTGCTGGCCTCAGTAGTCACACCTGCACTCGCCTTTCCGATCGGGAGTTGAGGGTGGCTGGCCGAGAGGGTGGTACCCGCACTCAGCGACGATATGGAAGCATCTACACCTTAACTCTGGACCCGAGTGCCCGCACCTATTGGTATGGTATCCCCTGCCCAAAACCTTTGGGAAAGCAAAAATTAAACTTTTCAGGCAAATAATCCATATCCTCGCCCTACCACCCTCTTTCCTCTGTCTAAAATAGCTGAACCCTCTATAACCTTGCTTTTCCCTGGGATCTACCCAGGCATCCTCTCTGTCCTCTGCAAGGGTAGTGGGGAAAAGGCAGTAAATTTACATTTCCCGAAAACCCCACTCAGAGCTGAATTTCTGCATATCCACAGCTACAAAGAAGACTACCACACAGTCTCCCGCTCAGGTCACTGTGCCGCCCTGCTCCAAACTCCTGGGCCCCACCCTGGTCATCAGTTATTGCTCTTTGGGGGTTGCAACTCCGCTGAACCAGAAATAGCTGGGCAATGGAGTCAAGGGAAGATTAAGGTATTATCTGCTCACATCACTAACGGGGTTAAAATTGTGAGGCCCAAAACCCTACAGACAGTCCCTTCTTTCTCCCCCAAGGAGGAACCTCCTATTGCCCCACGTTTGATGGAACAGCTTGCAAGGCTTGTGAGCAAGGGGCAGGGGTCCCGGCAAGGACCCCGGGGACTGCGTCATCACTCATGTTCTGTGGTGGGGCCTTTTGCTGTGCTGTTTGGTGGAGAAAGTCTGACCAGAGCTAGAGACACCATCTGCAATGACCTCTACATCTATGATACCCGTGAGAGTCAAACTAATGGCTGAAGGGAAGTGAGGGGAGGTGGGAAGAGAGGAGAATCTATATACTACAGAAAGAGTATGGAGGGCCAGTGGCATGCCTGTAATCCCGGTGGCTCAGGAGGCTGAGGCAGGAGGATTTTGAGTTCAAAGCCAGCCCCAGCAACTTAGCGAGGCTCTAAGCAATTCAGTGAGACCTGCCTGTAAATAAAATACAAAAAAATGGTCTGGGGATGTACCCCAGTGGTCGAGTGCCCCTTGGTTCAATCCCTGGTACCAAAAAAATAAATAAAAATTTAAAAAGGGGCTGGAATGTGGCTTAGTGCCCCTGGACTCAATCTCTGGTACCAAACAAACAAAAACAAGTATGGGGTAGGGAGGAGGAATTTGTTTACAAGGAGTACACAGAATATTTGTGGGTCTACTGAAGAGGCCCACAAATCGAGTGAGGGAAAAAAAAAAAGTGCATGCCTATAATCCCACCTACTCAGGAGGCTGAGACAAAAGGATCCCAAGTTCCAGGCCAGCTTTGTAAACTTAGTGAGGACTTATCTCAAAATAAAAAGGGTTGGGTGTGTAGTTCAGTGGTAGAGCTTTCCTGGGTCAAACTTCTAACAGGCCAAAAAAAAGAGTCCCATGGGTGACAAAGTGCATTTCTACCTCAGTAATCATCCTCTGCCCCTATCCAACAGGCAAATCTCCTCTGTGGTTCCACTTCCCCTGTGCAGACCGTGGGCTGAAACGTGTGGGCCATCGAACCTGTCTTTGGAATGATCAGCTTTACCTGGTTGGGGGTTTTGGTGAGGATGGCAGGACAGCTAACCCACAGGTTTGCATCCTGGACCTCTTTATTTAAAAAATAGTGTCAAACACACTGCCAAGACTCTGTTTGGTTGCAAACCCATAAAGCATTATCACTACTGCTATCTGCCTCATTTCAAGTGCTTATTAAATTTCAATTGAGAATCGACATTTGTCTCTAAATTTTTTCTTTTTTTGAAGGGCAGTAAATAAGTAGACACATCTTTATTTGCAAGGGAAAGGACACAGTTTGGGTCTGTTCTGAGGTTGTGAGCCATTAACCCCATGGAAACAAAACTCACAAATCATACACTGTCCCTTGCCCTTAAGCAATTTCCACCCCTAATTGGGAGAAAGTTCCAAGCTACAGCTAAGCATTCTGACCAAAACATTTAATTAACAAAAAAAAAATATTACAATAGCAGAGAAAATAATAATAATAATAACAATAAAGAGATCAGAAGTGGGAGTCAGGGTAGAAAAAAATGCAGAGGTCTTGTTCCCTAGGAGACCAACACTCCAGCTGAGCTAGTCTTGGCCCCAGCCCCTTCTGAGTTCTCCTTGGCTGCTGGTTTCTCATCTTCCCCCATGAGACGAATGTTGTGCTTTTCCCGGAATTCATTCAGTTCTTTTCCTTTTGCCTGAAGCTGCTGTGTCAGTGTCTCGATGATTTTCTGTATCTACAGGGCAAACAACAAGAAGTACATCAGAATTTTAGGTCTCCCTTTGCCATATCTGGAATGAACTATAGTTAAAGGAAGTGAAAGACACTTCTAACCTCATCTTTAACCGAGTGTTAATAGTGGAAGCCAGACATTAAAGTGACCCCTTCTCAAACACAGTGGTTTACAGACTTTAATATACATAAGAATCACCTGAGCTGCTTGTTTTTAAAATGTCACAGCATCCACAAGGCTCTGATTCAGAGGGTCCTGAAAGTTCCATTTTAAACTAGTTGTTCAGATGATTTTGATAAAAGTGTCCATAAAGAAACAATCCTCTAATCCCCCATCCAATTCAACCACATGAAAGAGCCCACGGAAAGGGTAATTGAAGCCAGCAACTCTTCTTGTCTAAGGATTTAGTCTTAGGATAAAAGGCCTAGCCTAATAAGTAAGCTATTTGTACCATCTTCAATATGATTTTCTTTGCAGACTTTCTGCCACCATCTTCCCTAAATCCCTAGGCTCCCTTCTTCTTTACCCCTTTGTTGCCCAACCTACTACGTAAGGACTCCTGCTCACCTGTTCCTTGTTATTCTCCAAAGCAGGCAGCACCTCTTTGACAGTCCGCTCCACCAGGACGCCTCCAACCATGCGGTAGCACTTACGGGTTTCATCTACTTCTTTCAGTGTATCAATCACTAGGCTGGGAAGAGGACAAGGCAGGACCTCAGAATTCAGACCCACACTACTGCAACCCTCCCTCACAAGATGGCCCATTCAATTTTCTATTATTTGCTTCTAACTGATTTTTTCACCTGTGCTCATTCAACTCCATCTCCAGCTCAGCTGCTTTGGATGCCAGACCTCTCTGTTCCTGCCGAAGGCGGTTGAAGCCAGCAATTACCTAAGGTGTGTGAGAAAGAGATGAGAGGGGAGACAGTAGAAATGGTAGATAGTAAAAACAGCACATAGGGTGACAGGTTTTACACAGGTGTTATAGTGGATACCTATCTTGAAAAAGGAGTGGAACAAAAGTTTGCAATCTCCTTTAATCTGTCTGGAATTCCATTCCATTACACACTTTCTGAGAGCTGACCATGTGTGAGGTATTTGCTAGGGAACAGATTTGTACTTTGGCTTCTTGTAGTTTTTAGTTTGGTGCAGAAGACATTTATAACATAGGACTGGGGGCTGGGGATGTAGCTCAGTGGTAGAGCACTTGCCTGGGTGACAGAAATAGGGATGGAGAGGTACTGGAGTACTTTCTGGAAGTCTAGACTTACTTGCAGGTAAAGAAGGCTATCAGAAAGGGCTTTTTTTTTTTTTTTTTTGGTACTGGGGAATAAACTCAGGGGCACTTATTAACCACTGAACCACATCCCGAGCCCCCCCCCCTTTTTTAATTTATTTATTAGTTTTTTTTTTTTGGTGGACACATCTTTATTTTTTATTTTTATGTGGTGCTGAGGATCGAACCCAGCGCCCCGCACATGCCAGGCAAGCAAGCTACCGTTTAAGCCATATCCCCAGCCCCCAGCACCCCCAGCCCCTTTTTGGTATTTTATTTAGAGACAGGGTTTCACCGAGTTGCTTAAAACCTCGCCAATTGCCGAGGCTGGTTTCAGAACTCACAACCCTCCTATCTTAGCCTCCTGAGCCAGGATTACAGGCATGCAACACCATGCCTGTCTGGAAAGGGCCTTTTAATGAGTAGCTCAGGAACTGGGAGCAGTAGCACACACCTGTAATTCCAGCAGCTCAGGAGGCTGAGGCATGAGGACTGCATGTTTGAAGCCAGCCTCAGCAATTTAATGAGACTTTAAGCACCCTAGTGAGACCCTATCTCCAAAAAAAAAAAAAAAAGGAAGGGGGTTGGGGATGTGGCTCAGTAGTTAAGCACTCAGTGGTTTAATCCCTGGTACAAAAAAAAAGCGTGTGTGTGGGTAGCTTGGGGATGGGGGGTATGCCTCAGTGGTAGAAGGCATACTTACCAAGGTGCAAGTCCTACTTGGGTACACACAATAGTTCATCCATTATTGTATTTAATAACATATATCCCAAAAGTGGGCCATTTGATGTTAGGAGAACATCCAGAATCTGATTAAGTCATGGTATCTTCTTAAAGGAAATTTTTCTGTCTCTTTCTTTAAGGAATATTTTTAAGGAATTCCTCCTCCTTAATTTGGTGGGGTTCTTGTGAGACAATATTCTTGCCCCTTGCCACACACTGTAGAGATATCTGAATTCTGGGCAGAGACAAGTACAAAAGGTAACTGAAGCTAAGGGGCCTAAAGGCTCTAGAGAGATGACCCTCTGATCCTATTCCTGGGTTCCCCAACGCTGCCCACAATCTTGAACTTTGGTCAGTATTTAGCCTTTCCTTTTATTGTGTTCAATTCTGTGAGCTACCCTCCATTCTTCAAAAACATTCCTTTAAAACACAAACACAGAATTAGGCCAGAATTCATTTTTGTAGCCTATAAAACTGATACAGGCTTCCTGAGAATGTCTCAACTGAAACTCAAGGATGAGAAACTGGAGATAGCAAAAAAGAAAACAAACAAACAAACAAAAAAAAAACCAACAAGAATTAACATATGTAAATGCCCAGGGAAGTGATTTTTACCTGTTCCTAGTTCCCCCAGAAACTGAACAGAGAAAAAGAAAACTGTGAAAATTAGACTGGGTACTAAGACCAACACCACCATCGCTTCCAGTATAGGGGTCTATGACTGTGTCTGGAATGAAATACCAGACGCAAAGTAAGAGATGCAATATGGAAAGAAAATGGGAGGAAAAAAGAAGAAGAAAAACATGTGGCTCAGATATAGGTTTCAAGTTCTGTCTCTGCCAATCACCACCACCACCACCACCACCACCACCTAGTACTGGGAATTAAACCCAGGGGTGCTCTACCACTGAGCTATACCCCAACCCTTTTTATTTTGAGGTAGGGTCTTGTTAAGTTGCTCAGCAGGCCTGGAACTTTAAATACTCCTGCCCCAGCCTCTCAAGTTGCTGCGATTACAAGCATGCACCACCATGCCTAGTTTTGCCTCTGTAAAACATTGGTAAACATTTAATTCTATGATTCCCAGTGTTGGCTATGTTAGAACCATCTGGAGAGCATTTTAAAAACATGGAACACTGGAGTCTCAGAACAACCAGTGAGGGTAAAGCCCAAGCCTTAGTATTCTTAGTATTTCCCAAATATTTAATGGGCAACTAGAACTAAGAACCACGCTGGATTAACCTCTTTGAGCCTCTGTGTTCTTACCTGGAAAATGGTTGTTGAACCATGTAAACTAATAGGTGTGAAAAAGAGTTTTTGTAAGCAATACATTAACTACTATTATGGCTTTCTCACCAAATCCAGAAGTGAATGGAAGCCCTTAAACCCATCCATTCAAATCACTGTCAAATCTTTTATATCCATTAAAATCTCCAGTGTCATTGCCATATTTGCCTTTTTTTTTTTTTTTTTCCCCTTTACAGCACTAGGGACTGAACTCAGAGTGGCTAGCACTGACCTATATCCTGAGCCTTTTTATTTTTTGAGACAGAGTCTCACTAAATTGCTAAGGCTGGCCTTGAACTTGTTGTAATCTTTCTGCCTCAGCCTGTGGAGTTGCTGGGATTACAGCAGTGTGCCACCACAACTGGCAAACCTTGCCTCTTTACTGGGGTTCCTTATCTCTAACTCTGTATTGTGGTAATTTACATGTACACAATTTTCTACAGGACATGGATTTCTTATTTTTTTAAGGGCTATATAACATTTACATCCAACTGATGTATTTTTAAAATATATTTTTAGTTGTCAATGGATCTTTATTTTTTAATTTGTTTATATATGGTGCTGAGAATCCAACCCAGTGCCTCACACATGCTAGGCAAGCACTCTACCACTGAGTCACAACCCCAGCCCCAATTGATGTATTGTTCTTTTTTAAAAATATTATCTTATTTCCTCTTTTTTAAAAAAAATATTTTTTAGTTGTCAATAGACCTTTATTTTATTTATTTATATGGGGTGCTGAAAATCGAACCCAGTGCCTCACACGTGCCAAGCAAGCACTCTACCACTGAGCCACAACCCCAGCCCCTCGATTGATGTATTTTTCAAAACTGCTTTTTTCCTAGGGAACAGATTTGTACTTTGTGTTGAGACATTTAGATTGTTTCCATTTTTCCTATAATAAATAACACTAGGGTTAAATATCTTTGAACCAACACTACAAAAGTTTTACAGTCATTTTGCTTGAATCACATTCTTAAAAGTGAAATTAATGAGTCAAAAAATTGTTAACATTTTTACAGCTTTAATTTTTAGAAAGGGATCTCTTTTTTTAATTTTTAGTTGTAAATGGACACAATATCTTATTTGATTTACTTATTTTTATGTGGTGCTGAGGATCAAACCCAGGGCCTCACACATGTTAGGCAAGTGCTCTACCACTGAGCCACAACCCCAGTCCCAAAAGGGATCTTTTAACTCCAGAAACCTTGGAATCATCCTCGACTCACTATCCACATCCAATTCACCTGTAAATTACATCTATCTGCTAACTACCTCAAACCCATCCTCTTCTCCGACACCTGTACTACTACTGTAGCCTCTTGAGTTCTACACTGTCTCCAGATTTGCTCCCTTCAACACATTCTCCATACTGTGGCAAAATTGACCTAAAATATAAATCTAACTACATTCCTCCTTTGCCTAAAACCTTCAACAGTTTCTGGAGCTAAAGGGATAAAATCCAAACTCCTCAACATGGTGAACAAGCCCCATGAGGACCTGCTTATTACCTCTCCCCATCAGTCCTTCCCTCCCTTAACTAAGCACCATTACTGTCTTAAAGCAGCAGTTTCCCTAATCATTTCCCTTCAGGCATTCATTTAGAATCTTCACCATACCTGTTGTAATTTTCTGAACCTCTCCTTCCTTATTTCTCTGCCTAAGTCTAATTTTCTCTTCAGGTTTCAACTCAAAATCTCTTAGAAAGCATTTCTGGTCATCCTCATTCCTATGAGAACAACTTCTATATGCACACATATAAATATATATATATATATATATATATATATATTCCTTCCTTAAATTTTTGATAAGAAATCTTCTCTATTTATATTGTTATTTTCTACCATTCCATTGTTTGTTATCTTCTTTGACATTTCAAATATACAAATGAAACATTTTTAAATACCATCTTTTCTATAGTCCTACAATAATCTGCCTTCTGTAATTTGGACAGAAAAGGAACACCAATCATGTGCCAGATACTATCCTAGACTTTTTCATCTCATTTAATTCTAAAAACCAAAAGCAGGGTTGGAAGTGCAGTTCAGTGGCAAAGCACTTGCCTAGCAAACATCAGGCCATGGGTTTGATTCCTAGCATTGTCCCCTCTCCAAATGATTGTTAAGGCATGTGCTTTCAATTTATAAGTCAAGAGACCAAGGCTGATGGGATATGGAGAAGTGGTTAAAACAACACAGTGAACTACAGAACTGGGACTTTTACGTAGGTTTGTCTAAGAATCCATTTTTAATTAATATATCATTCCTGGATTGCCATATATTAATCTCTTACAAAATTACTTCCATTTGATTTATGTCCCTTTTTTGTTTTTTTTCTCTGTTTTTACTTAATACCATATACTTTTTCGTTGTTGTCATTTTGCAACACTGAAGCAGGGTCTTGCTAAGTTGCCAAGGCTGGCCTCAAACTTGTGATACTCCTGCCTCAGCCTTCCACGTAGTTGGAATTACAGGCATGTGCCAAAACACCCAGCTAATACCATACAGTTTTGATAAATTCAGGAAAAAACCTACAAAATCTACCTTTTCCCCTAAGGGTCCTTAGGTAGTCTTCTTTTTAAAATATTTTTAGTTGTAGATGGA